CGAGAAATCACCCCCCAGGGGGGATGGTCATGCCACAATCCCTTCTCCTCCATTCTCCTCTCGGGATCTTGGGCACGCACGCACACCACGCGCCCGGCGTGAGTTTTAAGCCACCGGGTCCGGGACACGAACCGCGGTCGACTACGTGGGAGTCCAGCGACATAGCCATTACGCTAACTGCTGGTTCCCTCAATAGCTTTTTAAAAAATTCTTCCAGGGAGTGTGCATGCCTGCTGGAGAGCAACAGAGAGGGAGAGAGGAAAAGTAAGGAGGCACTCCCTATGGGGAATGGTCATGCTGTAATCTCTTCTCCGTTTCTCCTTTTAGGATTTTGGGTATACACACACATGCACCTAGCATGTTTTGGGGTCTGGGATTCGAACCACATGCTTGGCCATGAGGGATTCACCATGCTACGAGCTGGCCCAAATAAATAAATAAATGACAATAAATAAGACAAGAAAGTAACTTTTCACTATTCATTTCCAGTTTCCAAGAGTAGACTTTTGTAATCTGTGAAGCAATCTGAACTGTCCCCTTCTTGCTCCTCAGTGAGAGTTGAGAAACAAGAAGAGGAACCATACTTAGTGGTGAAATCTCAGATCTTCAAGAGGAAGTACACCACTTTCCTGTCTCCATGTTCTCCCCAAGTCTTGTCCCAGCAGTGAATCTTGATATATTTCTGTCGAGTTACTGTAAAGATATATATGTATTACAATTTTCTTTAATACTAGAGGGTGTGTGCACGTGTATGACCGAGTGAGAGAGAAGAACACCTCCGATGGGGCCTGGTCACATTGCAGTTCTTTTTCCTCCAGTTTTCCATCCTGTAAGGATCATGGGCCCACAGGTACTCGGCATGTTTTCAAGCTGCAGAGGTGGGACTTGAACCTTGGTTGACTTTGTGGGATCCAGTTTCCACTACTACAGGACCAGCCCAAGTGAATGTATATATCATTCACTTGTATATAGCTTAAGACAAGTTTGTTCTGCAGTGCTCTTTTACGTAATAACTTGTTCCTAAGATTGATCTCAAGAGGAGAATGGAAAAAAAGGGACTGTGGTGTGGCCATCCACCCTAGGGGGTGCTTTCTCACTTTCTCTTTCTCTCTCTCTCTCTCTGTGTGTGTATGTGTGTCTCCAGCAAGTACATGTACTCTGTAGCAAATTTAAAAAACTGAAATTAAGGAAAAAGAAAAGCTGGGTATGGTGGCAGGCACTTGTAGTCCCGCTGGGAGTCTGAGGCAGGAAGATAACAGCTGTGAGACCCTGACTAAAAAGAATTAAATATTGGGTCATCAGAAAAGTTATGACATATTTTTCTAAGTTTTTCTATGCAAAAATGCGTCATGACTTTTCTGACAACCCAATGAAAATAAAATAAAATAAAATAAAATAAAATAAAATAAAATAACAATGGACTGTCGCATTGGCTGAGCCCTGAGGGGCCCGTGCTATGCTTTGATGGGCTCTGATAGATATGACAGTGCTTTTCTACCCGGCTGAGTGCTCTAGAAAAGTGACTAAAGTTTTTTTTTGTTTGTTTGTTTGTTTTAAGAGATTTTTGCTATGGGGCACATGTGCTCAGTGGAGAGACAGAAAGACAGAAAGCGAGAAACGACTGTCGCATTGGCTGAGCCCTGAGGGGCCCGTGCTATGCTTTGATGGGCTCTGATAGATATGACAGTGCTTTTCTACCCGGCTGAGTGCTCTAGAAAAGTGACTAAAGTTTTTTTTTGTTTGTTTGTTTGTTTTAAGAGATTTTTGCTATGGGGCACATGTGCTCAGTGGAGAGACAGAAAGACAGAAAGCGAGAAACCACCACCAGCCCCCCTCCTCCCCGGGGGGATGGCCATGTTGCAATCTCTTCTCTTCCATTCTCCTCTTGGAATTTTGAGCATACATGCACATGCACTCAGAGTGAGTTTTAAGCTGCCAAGTTTGGGACTCGAACCACAGTCGAATCCGTCAGAGCCCAGTGATGTAACCATTATACCATCTACTCGTCCTGACTGAAGTATTTTTAAGAAAACTCCAAGAGATTATAATCAGGAGTTCTGGGACCAGCCAGTGGTGCAGTAGACACAGGGCTTGGTGGCGCTCCGCCCAAAGGTCCCAGGTTCACATCCCAAGGCACCCTCATGCATGCCGGGTACACGCATGTCCGTGACCCAGACTGGCTGAGACTGAGGAGATCCTGATGTGAAGACCCTTTAGGGGGTGACCCCTTCTCTCTTTCTGTTTTTCTCTTTCTTATGCAGAAAATAAGTGAACAAACATCAAAAAACAAATCCAGGTGTCTTGCTCTTATTTACTAAGCCAAGCCACCGTGCTTTACTCTCATGCCACCATGGCTTCCCTGGGGTCTCCTTACTTCCACTTTTACTCCCTCTAACCTACTCTAACTTAGGTGCTCACTAGTCATTGTCACTGGAGCCCACGTGTTCTTCCAGGGTACTACCACACATTGGGTTGTGTACCTGCGTAATTGGTTCCTGTTTCTCCGACTGGACTTTGAGCCCCAAGAGAACAGAGACCGTTCTTATTCACCACTGCAGACTATCCTCATTTTTATCCAATGCCTCACACAGAGAAACCACAAATATTCAATAAGAAAATGTGTGTGAATTCTCAGAGGTGCAGAGACCACATTATAATTCACTTTTACGTTATCAGCACCAAGGACAATGCCCAGTGCAAAGCAAGAACTCAGTAAATCTTTGTTCTGCATTTGATTCCGCTGATGAAGGGATGACTCCGTTTTGCAAGTTTCACCGAAAACTGCATTGGATACTTCTTTACTGTGCTGCTTTCCCATTGTGTATGAGAGCTGATGCTTATTTTGTTGGATTGCTGTGGAAGATCAAGCCTGTAGAGGGCTCTGCAGTGTCTGACCTGGTGTGCACTCACAGGAGCCCCACCTAGCACTGGGAGAAGGCTCAAGGAAGAAATCTAAAAGGGAAGAAGAAAGTGACTCCAAAGCAAATAGATTTTGTGTGCAAAAAGTCACAAACAATTCCCCAGGTAACCCTGATATTTACTTTTGTCCAACTTTCTCTATATTAAAATGTTGAAAGACAAATCAGCCTGGAAGATGTAGGAGTCAACTCTGTTATTTTGCCTTGTCCCAAATTCTCTTTAGCAATGACTTGACAGCCAATTGAAGTTTTTCAACTATATAGAATTTACTATTTACAAAGAAAATGGGGCCAGCCTAGTGGTTAAGGGAGTTGATCACTCCCAAATTTGAATCCTGCTGGGCAGTGTCAAGCCAGGCTCCTATGTATGCAAGCCCCAAATTCGGACAGGATGGAGAAATGGAGAAGAGAATGCAACATGACCACTGACCACCAGGTGGCTGTGTGTGTGAGTGTGCGTGTGTGTGTGTGTGTGTGGGGGGGTGTTGCTTTCTTTCTCTCTTTTTCTCTCTCTCTGTCTGCCCCTCTCTTTCTATGACTCTTTTTAGCTAGTGTACATGTCCTCTGGCAATTAAAAAAAAGAAGAGAAGGGAAGGTAAGAAAAAAGAAAATATAGTGAGTCCTCAAAAGGATTAGGTACTATTGGGAACCAGCAGTTAGCTGGCTATGTCGCTGGACTCCCACGTAGTCAACCATGGTTCGTGTCCCAGACCCGGTGGCTTAAAACTCATGCTGGGCGCGTGTGTGTGAGTGCCCAAGATCCCGAGAGGAGAATGGAGGAGAAGGGATTGCGGTGTGACCATCCCCCCTGGGGGGGGTGATTTCTTGCTTTCTGTCTCTATGTCTCTCTCTGTCTGGCAAGCGCATGCGCCCTATAGCGAAAACCTCTCCAAAAAAAAAAAAAAAGGATTAGGTACTATTTAGAATTTATCCATCTATGAAAGCCATCATAACTGAAGCCTTTCAGTGCCACGTATTAACCTTAGAGCAAAGACCTGAACCTTGAACAGTCTGCAAGAGTCTAGCTCTTGCCCATCATTTTTGCCAAATCTCACCTTTGCTCCCTCAGCTTCCACTATATTGATCTCTGGGTTTCAGACATAGGACCTTTGCACACACTTCCTTCGCCTGGGCAAAAGCCTGTTAACCAGGTTCATGTGATCGCGCAAGTCAAGCACCTTTCTTCAGTCACATCCCTGTCCTCCAGTAAAGGTCCTGGGATCTTTCAGCTCACAGCAGCAATTAGATATCCAACTGTGTAGTTGTTATGTCTCTCTCTCCCCTCCCACCCGATTCCCTGTACTTTCGGAGAACATATTGGATGACCAAGTTATTCAGTGTATCCTGCCAAGCGCCCAGAACTGTGCCCAGAACTTGGTAGGTGCTCAGTACAGGTGGCTTGAATGAATGGATGCATGTCAGATTTCCAGGGCTCTAAGGACTCGAGAGTGAGGAAGCCAGCTCCTCTCCTCCCCGACATACCTCCCCGAGTTCGGAGGGGGCGCGTGGGACACAAGTCCATAAACTAAGACGCTAAGCCCCGCGCCTGTTTCCAGCTGGTGCGCGATCCCTTGAATTAACCCCTTCCGCAGTCGTAGAAGGTTTGGAGGAAGGGGTGGGTTCAAGGGCGGATGCTGAAGTCGTGCTCACGATGATCGATAAGCTGAACAATGGCCAGACTCTGGTGGAGAGCCCAGGTTCAACGAAGACTGCAGGGGCCCGCGCTGCTCCGCTCGGACCGGCTGCCAGCTGACCCCTCTGGCTGTCCCTTGAGCCCTAAGCAAACTATTCCCGCTGGCGCCCAAGCGAGCCAGCCTATGCGCCCGGGGCGCAGCAGCTGCACTCGGGTCAGGGCGCTCCCGGCCAGCTCCAGCGTCGGGCGCCGGTGATTGGCAGCCCCCAGCCTCAGCCCCGGCGCGCCCTCCCACCCAAGGCGAAGTCCAGTCCCCGCCCGCTGCTGGGCCTCCGTCTCCTCCTCTCTGCCCCGCGGGTACCGGGCGCCGGGCCTAGATCAGGCCGCGTACTGCCGGCAGGCGCGGAGAAGCAGCGCGGGTGCAGGCGGGCGCGGGTTGCGCGGGCCCCACCCATGAAGGTCGAGTTCGCGCCGCTCAACATCCCGCTGGTGCGGCGGCTGCAGACGGCAGCGGTGCTGCAGTGGGTCCTGTCCTTCCTGCTGCTCGGTAAGGACCGTGTGTGCGTTCAGGCCGCGGGAGATGAGGGAGTACCCGGCGGTGCATGGACTCTGTCCCTCCCTCCCGGAGTCCCTACCCCAGGTCGTGCTTCCAGTCTTCGACCCTTGTTGCTGTGTCAACCAGAGCAGTCCCGTCAAAGGGGGCGTTTGGAGCTAACCCGCGACCCTCGGGTTTCTTTCCCGCAGAACCTCTGAGCGGACGAGTGTCCTGCTTTTCTCGCTGTTCTGTTTCTTGACGTTGAGGTGCTCTGTACCTGGAATTAAAGGCGCCGATGATAAGGACCGCCTACATCTAGATGAGTTGGGGCAACCGTGTTCACCCAGTGTAACCGTGACCCAGTCGAGCTGTAGGACATTGACGTTAGCCCTCGAAAGCTGGCAAGCTCTTTTCTTGAACTGTCTTTTCATAAATGGAAAAGTAATGCCTAAGTACGTTAAAACCCGATTCCTTTATCTCCCCACCCGCATGACAAATAGCAGGGGTAACTTTTGGGTCTTTAAAAGCTCCCAGACACAGAAAGATAGCTTTCTGCAAAGCCTGGCACCGCATGTTGGGTTGGAGTGAATGGGGGCTATCTGGGAATAATCCAGAATTCCAGCCGGTTCCCGAGTTGAGCCCACGTAGAACGTACGCGAGCTGCCCACCCAGTGGGGCCGGGAGACTTACGAAGTGCGTTTTCCCTTCATGTTTGTGCTTCCCTTGGAGTAAATAGGAGTGGTGCGGGGACAAGACAGGAATTATTGCGAGCTTCTTCTATAGGAACGTAAACTCTTTCGAAGGCTAAAATCATTTGTATGCTGTAGGATCTTGGGGCTGTACGGTGCTGGGACTGTGGTATTAAACCCATGGCATTGTATTGTAGTTTCATACTTGGGAAGCGGTTTTTACATTCTGAATGCCTAAGTTGTCTACACGTGAGAATCATTAGAGAAGGAGCTTTTAAAAAAACCCAGATGCAGGGACCAGCAGTTAGCGTAATGGCTATGTCGCTGGACTCCCATGTTGTCGACCGCGGTTCGAGTCCCGGACCCGGTGGCTTAAACTCATGACGGGCGCGTGTGCGTGCATGCCCAAGATCCCGAGAGGAGAATGGAGAAGGGATTGCAGCGTGGCCATCCTCCCTGGGGGGTGATTTCTCGCTTTCTGTCTCTCTGTCTCTCTCTGTCTGTCTGGCGAGCGCACGAGCCCTATAGTACAAAAACCTCTCCGAAAAAAGAAAAAAAACCAAAAAACAAAAAAAACTCACACAGGGCATGTGAGTGTGCGTACCCAAGATCCTGAGAGGAGAATGGAGAAGGGAGAAGGGATTGTGGTGTGGCCATCCCCCCGGGGGGTGATTTCTCACTTTCTGTCTCTCTCTGTCTGTCTGACAAGAGCATGCGCCCTATAGCAAAAACCTCTCAAAAAAAAAAAAATCCAGATGCCCAGGCTGTATGCCTTGAATTTCTAATTCATTTGTTTGGGAATAGAGTGCAGCCAATGGTACTTTAATCTTTTTAAAAAAATTAGTTATTTAATTTTTTTTTTTTTTTGCTATTCTTATTTATTTTTAAAACTTGACCAGAGAGAGACAGAGACAGAAAAGGAAAGTGAGAAAGCAAGTTGTCAGGTCCAAGACTCGAACTGTGGTTGGCCATGTCGGAGTCTCGCACCCTAACCAGCATACACCAGAGAGAGACAGGGAGAAAGAGCAGAAAGTATTCCCCTGTGGGGCATGGTCACAGGGAAATCGCTTCTTCTCTGTCTTTCTTTTCTGTCAGGATTTTGGGCATGCTCACACATCCACCTGTTGTGTTTCTCAAGCCACCAGTTCTGGGACTTGAACTACTTGATTAGACATGGGGGAATCTGGCAGCCTTAACTACCAGGCCACAGAGTCAGCCCAGAACTTTAAAAAAAAAAAGACCTCTCCAAGGGACTCTAATGTGCAGCTAGAGTTTATGGAAAAAAGTAATTAAAAACATCATCAGGAGCAATGGTACATGCCTGTAGTTCCACTACTGGACCCTAAGCAGGCAGATTGCAAGCTCTAGGGCCACCCTGGGCAATGCAGGGAGACCCTGTCCCTCAAACAAAAATAATTCAAAACGTTAACTCAAGTCCTCACAGGCTAACCACGAGGCAGAGTTGATAATGGTACACTTTGCTCTGGACCAAAGGGTCATAGATATAAGAACAGACCGCTTATCCAGCACTTAGCATATGCCTTAGTGCTGTTCTAAGCACCATCCACTGTGAACCATGTACTCCGGTCTTTGGAGGGAGGGGCTATTCTTGCCCTCTCTGTGCAGAAGAGGGAGCTCAGAGGTGGAGTAAATTGGTAAGGTCACTCAGCCAGTAATGGGGGAAAGAGCTGGATGGAAACCCAAGGATTCTCCCACAGTTCCTGCTCTGGCCACTGAGATACCATCTTGGATTTTTTTGTTTGTTTGTTTGTTTTTGGAGAGGTTTTTGTACTATAGGGCATGTGCGCTCGCCAGACAGAGACAGAGAGACAGAAAGCAAGAAATCACCCCCCAGGGGGGATGGCCACGCCACAATCCCTTCTCCTCCATTCTCCTCTCAGGATCTTGGGCACGCACGCACATGTGCCCGGTGTGAATCCAGGACTCAAACCACGGTTGACTACATGGGAGTCCAGCAACATAGCCATTACGCTAACTGCTGGTCCCACCCTCTTGAATTCTTAAACTTGGACCCCGAGTTCCTAACTGACCATTCAGCATATCTCTGAGAGTCCACGTCCTTTTCTTTTTTTTTAGAGAGATTTTTGCTGTAGGGCATGGACTCATCAGAGAGACAGAGACAGAAAGCCAGAAATCATCCCCTGGGGTGGGGGTGGGGGAGGCGTGGCCATGCCACAATCCCTTCTCATCCATTCTCCTCTCAGGATCTTGCACATATGAACGCAGGCACACTGTGCCTGGCTTGAGTTTGTAGCTGCTAGGTCTAGGACTTGAACCGCAGTTGGTTATGTGGGAGTCCAGAGACAACCATTGTGCCATCTGCTGATCCTGCACGGTTCTTTTCTTTCATAACACTTTTCATTGCTTGTGTTTATGTATGTCCGTGGTTATTTGAGAAAGGTCTGAATTGCCACTCTGGCCTACAAGGGAGAGGAGATACCATCCATGTGTCTGGCCATGAAAGATACACAAGAAATATGCCTGGAATGACGGTTTCCACTCTGTCACACAGAAGAGGACTGTCCACCCCACCTGTCCCCATGAGTAATAACTCATGTAATCCTCACAGCAACCCGTATAGGTAGGGCAAGCCCACAGATCTAGGAGGTGAAGTAGATTGTTCAGTCCCATGGCTCAGTAGTGGGTGGTTGTGCCCCAGCTGAGTAGATTAGTGCCTAGGACCCGACGCAAACCATGCCTAATGTGAATCGAAGTAGAGTGGCTCTGCAGACATTCCTTTCAATGTTTTTATTTCACGCACTTGATATTTGTGTTCCTGGGAACATAATATTTTATATTGGCCTAGAATGGAAAATTTCAAACACACAGAAAAGTAGAGAGAAGGGTAAAAACTTCCATATTGTAAATATTTATTCATTTGCCCTATTTGTTTTTTTAAAGAATTATTTTATTTAACTTTATTTATTATTATTATATTTTCCAGTTTGATCAGAGAAAGAGAGTCAGAAAGCAGCCTCCAGGTCCAGGACCTGAACTGTGCAGCCAGCCATATGGGAGTCTAGCACCCCCAACCACCGTGCCACCCGTCAGCCTCACTCTATTTGTTTTATCATTGTCTTGTAAAAATATTTTAAAGTGAATCACATTATAATATTTTCACCCTAGATATATTAGTGTGCATTTTTTGAAAGAATTCTTTTATTTAACTTTATTTATTTATTTATTTTAATTTGACCAGAGAGGAACAGAGCGAGAGGGGGAGGTGGTTGAGAAAGCAAGCCACCAGGTCCAGGACTCAAACTGTGGTTGGCCATGTGGGAGACCAGCGTCCTTAAGTACCATGCCACCTGGCGGCCCCTAGTGTGCATGTTTTAAAATATTTTTATACAGCTATAGTATCTTGTCAAAGCTAGCGTAATTAACAAAACTTGGTTAAAATCACCTGAACCAAGGTCATATTCAGATACCCTAAATTGTGCCCCAAATGCATATTTATTGGAATTGCTTAGAACACAAATCCAAACCAGACGAGCATGTTACATGTGGCTGGTATGTGTCTTTTTATTTTATTTATTTATTTATTTATTTATTTATTTATTTATTTATTTATTTGGAGAGGTTTTTGGTATAGGGCACATGTACTCGCCGGAAAGACAGAAAAGAGACAGAGAGACAGGAAGTGAGAAATCACCCCCCAGGGGGGATGGTCATGTTACAATCCCTTCTCTTCCATTCTTCTCTCAGGATTTGGGCATGCACGCACACGCACCCAGCATGAGTTTAAGCCACCAGGTCTGAGACTTGAACCACAGTTGACTACATGGGAGTCCAGCGACATGGCCATTATGCCAACTGCTGGTCCCTGTATGTGTCTTTTTATTTTTATATTTTATTTGTTTGTTTGTTTGTTTGTTTATTCATTCATTCATTCATTTTGGGGGATATTTTTGCTACAGAGTGTGTGCACTTGCTGTAGAGACAGACAAAGAGAGACAGAAAGCAAGAAATTAAGAAATTACCTCCCCGGGGGGATGGCAAGCCACGATCCCTTCTCCTCTTTTCTCCTCCTGGAATTTTGAGCACACATGCACATGTGCCTGGTATGAGTTTTAAGTCATCGGGTCTGGACCTTGAACCTTGGTCGACTACATGGAAGTCCAGCGATGTAACCGTTAGGTCATATATTGATCTCTCTCTATTTTTTTTAAGGCTTTTGCATAGGGCTCATGCACTCCCTGGAGAGAGAGACAGTGAGATGGAAAGTGAGAAATCACCCCCTATGGGGAATAGCCATGCCACAATCCCCTATCTATTTTCCTCCTAGGATTTTGGGCATGTACA